TGAGGAAAAGGATATAGCTTCATTTTATTGCTAAGAACATCGGAAAATAGGAAAACGAGCGGAAAGTTGATTCATTTGTCACACACACGCCGATCAACCCTAATGAGGAGGAGCACGAAATGATACGACCAGATTATTTTTTTATCATAAAAATCGGGTCGCTCCTGAACTTCTTTAATAGTATCCTTTGTTACTTTTTTTTCAAACGAAAAAAAATGAAGCGAAAACCTCTTTTGTTCCGTTTTTCACCTTTTCGAGGTTTCAAAAACCTTCCGACCTTTGGGACTAGAAAATCAAGCGGCAGAAGATTCCATTCAGCCTCTCTTATCGCCTTGTTTGGAATACCCTTTTGCAAAAAAAAGGAAAAAGTTTAAAAAAAAGTAGGAGAGAAAAAGAAAAAAACGGCACAGGTTTGGAAGAAGCACAACAAAATAATTGTAAAAAATACTGAAATTTTTTTTACCTGTTTTCCGGAGCATTCTCAAAATATTCTGAATTCATTCAGGCTTTTCAGGTTAAATAAAATAATCTTGTAAAAGCCTTCTGCGTTCTTCTCAAAAAAAGAAAACAGAGACCGTATTCAATAAAGTTGAAAATCATATTCCACAGCTTTTCTGAAAAAAAGGAATCTCTTACTCGTCTTTTCACACTTATATTTGCGTTCCTTCTGAAAATCCTAACATATTAGTGAAAGTGGAAATTAATGAACTCATAGTGAGTGAACGATCTTTTCATTTTCAGGGAAAAAGCGGAATAAAATTCTCAATTAATTCCATAGACCTCCTAATGGATTACTCTTCGATCTTCGACTTCATTCTGCAGAAAACTTCAAAAAACTGAACTATCATTTTAATCTGGGCATAGGGGCAGTAAAAAATGGGGTTTCAGGTGAAAGCAGTATCTTATATAGTTTTTTTTTCCGAATCGAATGGTGTACTCAAAAAAATTAAATATGTGACCACTTTAGAAGAAAAACGCGATTTTACTTTCCCGCCTTTATTTTTGAAAAAAGCTTTGGATCGGTATGCAGACAAATGTTTACAGTAGCCGTGCACGCGATGTTGCGGACGTCTCATTAGACTCGCATTTTGTCAGACATAACCGGGTATCTGCTTCAAATTAAGGGTTTCTTCTCTGAAAAATCGATTGAGAAAACAGAAAACACACACCGATAATAAAGAAAACACAAAATATTGCTATCCCAATCGAAACCTGTGTGAAATCATTATTTTTCACCAAAGAAGCGTTTTTGCGATCAAAGTTTGCAAATTATTCATGAATAGAAAGCTTTTGTGACGAAAAGAACTTTGGTGACAACAGAAAAAATTGAAAATTGAAAGAAACGAAGAAAAAAGCGAAAATTCGGAAGATGGCGAAGCCTTTGTCCATAGAGCATCTTTACTGCAAAGTGCTCTTTTTGCGGGAACTCAAACTTCCCTCTCTCCGACTTTGAATTACTTTTTCTCCAAAACTAGGAAGTTTGGTACGTTTCAAAGTTCACCGTTCGATTCGCAATGAAAAACTCTACAAAGTACTGCTTTGAACTAAAACACCGTTTTTTACTGCCCCTATGCCTTTTTAATCTGATTCGTGAGAAAAAAAGGAAACACAAAAAAAGCTTCAAAATGAAAAAAATTTAAATGAAGTTAAATTTTAGGCGTTAGATTTATTATAAAGCTACGTAATGTGAAGCCTTTTTGTGGCAAAGAGAACAAAGAGAGAAAGGATTATCTCAATTGGATCTTCCGGGTACAAATGGCAACTGAATTCCTTGATGACATAGCTTTTCAATTCTCTACATTTCTATTCAAATTCCTCGAAAAAAGTAAGAGTATTGAGAGAATGGGAACGGCCACAAAAATGCTGCTTGGTCACAGGGTTTTAAATGACCTAAGCTTTATTTTACACTCATGGATTTGTTTCTTTTTTCATCGTATGTGTCGATGAAAAAAGTTTATCGACGAAACATTTTTAATACGACTTTATTGATACTTGAATTGAATAGAGCCATTTCCCTGAAAAGGGAAAAATGAACGAAAAATGGAAAAAATATGACTTTAGCTTTTTTTTTGTTCTAAATTTGCTTTGGAAACGCTACTAACCAAGAGAACATCAATTACATACAATTAAATTTGAAAAAAAATAGAATCTGGGAACTCAACTTATAAATGGGGGAAGAAAAGACGAAGGAAAACGTCGCCCTGGGGCTTTTTGAGGAAATTGAAATTCCACGCCATTCGTCAAAAACGGAGGGTCACGTTCTTGACTATTGTTTTTCAGTTAATGGTAGTAGTTTTTTTCACTTTTTTTATTACTTTAGCTACATAAGTTATCACTAATTTATCATTAATCATCGCTATATTTTTAAATACTTTGTTATTCATTACCACTAGTTTTTTTCCTGACAGCGAAGTAATTTTTAAATAAAATTTTTAAAGAAAAATTGTACAAATTTGAGACAATAAATTTTGTAAATATCAATATTGATTAGTAAATCAATACAGCATTTTTTAAAAAAAATAAGACTAGAAAAGAAAAATGAACAATATTGGTGAGTCTTATCTGAACAAAAATACCTATTCCACTATTTTTTTAATAAAACATGGGAATAATCAATTCAAAAATTAAAAAAAAGAAATTAAAACAGCGATAAAATTTTTTTCAAATAGTGGCTGGCGGTTGAATTGAACGTTTATCAAGAACCGCGAACGCACACGCTACGCGTCCCGCCCCCTGCCCCGCCTCCCTCACCTTCCAAGTCGGGAAAAATTGACTTTAGAGCTTTTGTCGCCTACGATGAAAGCTTTTGGAATTTCGCCGACAGAAGCTTTCATTTCAAAAACTTCAGTGTAGACAAAAAAAACTGAAGACAGGAAAAAGGAAGGAAAGTAGTTTCAAAGAATCAACGTTCATTCAACTTCTCCGAAGGCGTTTTCGACTGCAAAGTTTCCGACTATTCCTTTTCAAACTAGTTTTTTTTCTCGATAACCTCTTCGTTTTGAATTAGCTTGTATAAAATAGGTTGTTGGTTCATGATTAAAAACATAGAAAAAAAAGGAAAAAAATGTTAATAGATATTTTTATAAACCGAAAAATATAAGGGAAAAAAAGTCAGAAAGGAAATAGTCAGAAACGTCGGTCGCCGTCGGAAAGTTCCCTGGCGATATAAAAAATTCGGAAAAGTCGCCGTTCGAAAATTCTCTGGATTTTTTTCCTACCTCCGAAAAAATACAAAAAAAAGCGCCGAATCAAAAGAAGCTGAAGACTTTTATCCATTTTCCTTATGAGCAATGACCCGCAGTTTCAGACGAAACGACGGTATTTTTTTCCCCATTTACTCATGTTAGCGCCTCAAAACATAGGAGCTCTTACCACACTGGTTCTATTTGCACTCAAATGGCTAAAACTGTTTTTCAGACCGTTGTTTACAAAAGGTCAGAAGGTCAAAGAGCAATAAAACTATTCAGTAACATACTGCCGGAAAGAAGAAAAACTTTCACTACTTTTCTTTGAGAGAAAGAATAACGAATTTGACCTCAAAAATAAGCAGAAAAAGGCTCAGCATCGTCAGAAATGAGCTGGATAAGCTTCAATAAAAAAGGACGACTGAAAAAGGCGAGAAACTTGGGACGAAGCTTCGGTTCTCGTAGATGCCACACGTTTCCGTATTGCTCGTTAGAAATAGTTGGCAGAGAAATTTGAGCTGAGTCGTTGGAAAATGGAAAAATTTGGGTGTTCCGAGAGAACTTCCAAATTGGTGTTACTAGGAACAAATCTCTTCCTTTTCGGTTGCTCTGAAACAGATTTTCATTCCCTGTGTTTCGCTCAACCCAATCAGCGGTTCAGATAATGGTAATGTGGAAAAAATTGGTTTATGCCAGGAATGAGGAATTGTGACCATAGGAATGATGGCAGGAGTGGCGTGAGTGGAATTCGTTATTCTAGCTTCAATCGGAATAGGAAAATCTTGCGGAGTGCAGAAGTTAATTTTTGGGTCCTCAGGAAAATTGCTTTCACAGAAACCCTAACGCGTGTGAGATGAAATTCGAAAATTTTTGAAGATTTTCAATTCAGATCATTTTTGCGAAGTATAAAACTTCCAAAGCTGGTTAATTTAAGATCAAAAATTAATAATAAAATAAAAATGAAGAGCGTAAAGCAAAAAAAAGGTTCGTCACGCTCTATTTTGAGGAAATTCATCGGAGCGCGGCAAAAGAGTTGGGCAATTCGAAAGGCGTACTAATGGCAAAGAGATTTCGAACACGCTCCGCTGGCCGGTCTTCAAGTTGTATAGTCTTAAAAATGATCAACCCACCAAATGACCTATAAATAGACTAATTCTAAAATTTGTTATGAAGTCCTGTCATTGAAAATCTATAATAGCCACCGTATTGAAAAGTATTGTAACTTTATTAGACTGAACTATCATACAGACTAAAAAGTTCAACCCACAGAACCAAAAGACTCGTTTGGGGAAAAAAACACAACTAATGAACGAATGTTTCTAGAAAACCTTGAACATTTCTAGAAAGTTTTTCAAACAACCGATTTCCATTTTTCTTTTTGGTTAGTTTCGGAGATAAGAATGACCAAATCCAAACGCCTCTGTCTAGTGAAAATATTGTATAATTTTTAGAAAACTCATTTCACCCAAACCTCTACAAGAAATATATTATTATCAAGAAAAAGACAAATCCAAAAAAATCTGCCTTTTTTTACCTGTTCAAGCACACGGATCGCGACAATTCGAACCTTCAAGGAGTCATCAACCAGCTTCCAGAAAGCGTTTTTTTAAATATATAGCTTCGCTGAATGAAAAAAATAACTCATAGAAAAAAATAAATTGTCTATAGCGAAACAAAGTTAAATGTTTATTAAGAAAAAAACATACCGTAGAATATATGCCCCCAAATGCCTATAATATGGCTTAATTAACAAAAACGACAAAAAAACTAGTACGACATTGAAATGAAAAAAAAAAATCAAGAAATACATGAAATTCAATTGAAGACGACATCTACAAACTGTGAATAATCGAGAGCGCCTGGAATCGGGCGACCGGCCGAGTCGACGTACGTCTTCATCCGTCGCGTGCAAAATTCAGCTTGTTGCGGCGTCAAAACCTGAAATCGCATAATTTTGTACAGCCGAAGATACAAAACGCACGGAATGGAGTTCTTCGGAAGTGATGAAGGGCTTGAGGTCCTTGGTGAGTGCCCGGAAAGCAAGACGAATGTCTTCCGTCGATTGCACGTTTTCCGTCTCTTCGCGAACCATGAAGCTCATGAAGTCTTGCAGAGTCACGGAGCCGTCACTGAAATCTCTCATTATAGTATATGAGCAGAAAAATCAAGCACACGCCGATATCTGTTCCAAATTGCGACGTCGCAACTCTCTCCTCTTATAATACGTTTCTTGAGGTTGGAAAAAAAGCTACAGATGATACTTTCCTTTTTCAATAGAATATTTGAATGTTCATTAAAAATGTTTTCAACTGCCGTGAGAAGCTTTCAGTTCTGCTGAAAGAATTTTCAATCAAAATTTAGCCAGCTTTCTCAAAGAGCCTTCAAAATCACCCATTTATACAATCAAAAAGCGATTTCCAAAGACTTACCGGTTTGGATCAACGAAATTCAAAATCTTCTCAAACTCCGGGTCTTGTTTGCCATCTTCAATTTCAAGATCGAAACCCAAGGCGCGGAGACAATTCTTCAGCATTTGGTAATCAAGTCGTCCAGATTTGGTCTTTAAACGAAATCCTGTTTTTTAATCAAGAATTAAAGAAAACCCGGTCAAAGTGCTTAAACATAAGCGTGAACTCTCTTAGAGACTCTTCTTTAACGCCAGACTGGTTGCGGGCCTGAATCTGTTGCTCCAAGTTGTACTGCATGCGTAACGAAAGCTGGTGGATCTGATCCCACGCCTGAGACGTTGCCACTGTCGAATGCTCAGTGTACCTCAAAAAGACAATGCACCAAAAATATAAACGGTCTCGAAATCGAATGAACGCATTAATCACAGTAAAACGTCTCATTAACTTTTTTTTGGTTACTTCTGTGCGAAAATGTACTGGTCCAGTCTAACTCACTTGGAAATTCGCATATTCTCTATATGGACTATACTCAATGTTTCCTCGACTTGAAAGGCGAGGGAGGCGGGGAAAGAGGCGGAACGCGTACGCGGTTCTTGGCGCGCGTTCAATTCAACCGTCAGCGACTATTTCGAGAACTCGTTTATCGCTCTCTTCATGTCTTTTTTAATCTTTCATTGATTTCTTACCTTTGTGCATTAAGAATGGTATAATAGATACAAAAAGAGGGGTGACTGAGCTTTTTAAATAGTCGGTGGCGCTTGAATTGAACTCGTGCCGAGAACCGGCTACGCACACGCTACGTGTTCCGCCCGTTCCCCGTCTCCCTCGCCTTCTAAGTCAAGAACGATTAAAATTTCTGTTTCTGGTTATTCTACTGCACTTTTGTCTTGTATTATTTTAACTTCTTATTTTTCTCACCGTATGCAGTGAATGAACCTATTATTAAAACAAATCAAAAACCTGTTGTCCAAAATCAATTGTTTCTCGAGGATCGCGCCGAGGTTCTCGATTTTTTTCAGCTTGGCTTTGTTTGAAAGTATCTCTTCGGACTTGCGTTTCATCTCCTCGAGTTGTTCCTCCAGAGAGCCGCCGAAGTCCATCATCTTGACACTTATAAGGTACAGATAAAACAGGGAGAAAAACGTGTTGGCGTGTGAGAGAGAGCCAAGAGTCAAAATCGTTGGCCAGTTTCGCGAAATCTTTTCTCAGCTGCTCGTTTTCTTCTTGACGCATCCGCTCTTGCACTAATTCTTTCTCCCGTTCCTAGAGCAGTTGGGAAAAAAAAAATGAATTTTCGCTTGGACTACCTTGTTAGTTTGTTTCAAGTTACGCCAGTTTTCTTCGAGCGCCTCGACGGTAAACCATGTGTAGGGAGTTGGTGCGACGTGTAAACTTTTGATCAGCCGATCGAGCTTTTGCAGCTCTTTCAGCTCCTGTTCAGCTTTTTCGAAGTTTGACTGAGCTCATCAAATTTAACGAATAGTTGAGCGAGAACCAACCTGAGAACGAGCATAACTGTCGCAGAGGATCAAGACGTCCTGTAGAGAATTGCACTGAACTGGATCTGTGAGGTCTTCTTCAGCATTTTCGATCCACGAATTGAACGCTGATGCCATTTTTGCGAAGTTCAAATACAAACCCTGAAAACCACGATGAGTGAGTTCAGGAAACATCAAAAGAAAAGTGTTTACTTCAATTTTTTCGAAACTCTGTCGCAACTCGAGAAGCTTCCGAAGACGTTCCTCAGATTTTTTCAGCAAATTCTCCCACCGCTGAACTACTCCAGAGTATCGCTTATCGATAAGATCTTTCTTCTGATGTTCGTTGGCCAAAAGCTGATCCCTCAACTCTCCGATTCTGAAAACATTCCTTCGAAAAGGAATCTGACTGGGAAACCTCTCGATGCCCTCTTTGTGAAACGCGTACAAACCCGCGTTAAAGGTCTTCTGTTTGGCCAGGATGAGCTCGACCCGCGATATATCCTTGATGTCTTCGTCGAGCTTCACGAGTTCTTCTTTCTCACCTCAATCCAAACGTTTTGATGGAAAATCTCGACTCCCAACTGATCCAGGTGTCGACAGTATCGCACTTCCACATGAACTGCAGGAATGCCGAATTCTCGCGCAGTCTTCTCAAACGGGAATCCGCCAAGACTTCTATTTCGGCCAGTCGGGACTTCAACATTTCGCAATGCCGTCGGATCTTGGTCGAGTGCCGATTCTGGCCATTGGTAAGCTGAAGAGAAAAAAAAACAATTGAGAATAAACGACGAGCTGAAAATTCACCTCTTTTCCGCTGTTCACCAAGTTGAGGATGCGCTTCCTATGCACGTCCAGGTCGCAAAGGAAGTTCTCGTGCTTTTTAACAAGACTTTGAGTTCCGGTCATTTTTTCACTCAAGTTTTCGGACTGGAGAACGAGCCGATTTTCGTTCATCCAAGCCTCTTCCTCGCCGGCGTCCAGCAGAAATTGATGGAACGCTTCGGACTCGTCAAGCGACTTGTGTCTGAAATCGAAAAATGACAACCGGTGTAACAATGACTGAAAAAAAGTCTTATCGTCAAAGTTTCTGATAAATTCAATCAAAAAAATCTATGAAGTCTTCGAGTCTGCGCTAGCCCCAAAATTTCAAAAAGTTTATCACTAAAATATAATTACGCACAAATCCTTTCTTCTGGGTGTTTGAAATAAAAATTATAAGAAATTCCAAACTTCATCAAAACAACTTCTTTTGAGCTACCAAACTTCGATAAAACCAATTCTTCCCTTTTAAGAGAATTATAAGAAAATATGATCGAGTTTTTCTGAAACGTGATTATCGAACCGTTCTTCCACTTTGAACAACAATTGCTCAAGTGTTTCGGTTAGCTCGGTCATCTTTTTCTTGATGCCAGCGTCAGAATCAGAATTGGAAGTGCTCTGAACGAGCTCCTGACCTCTGTGACGAAGTTGAATCAGCTGAAAAGTTCAAGATTTTGTTCACGGGTGATTTCTCACATGAGGCTCGTGATTAGAGATTTCGTTTTCGATACGGCGATGTTTGCGACGCAAATTGTGCACGCCTTGCATATCTCGTCCGTAGTCTTCATTATCCGTCAGAATGATTTTTTCTCTTAACCGAGGGTGAAATTACGAGAAGAGACGACGGAAGACACAAACTGCATCCATGCTTTTTCCTCGTCGATATCCCTCAAGAACAAGTAAATGTTGAGGTTCTCACTTAAGACGGCACGTTTTCTACTGGCCATCTGACGAACAACTTCAAAGCGATTTTTGATTTCCTGAATAGGAACTGTCTCGGTAACATCTGAGAAAATGATGAGGGTCTATTTACGATCCGCGACCTTGAATGTTAGGAATTGAATCTACAGACTCAACCCTATGCGGAAATTTAAAAAAAAGTTAAAGTTTTCGTTGAACAACTCAAGCTTTTGAAACCGCATAAAACTTGGAAAATCTTTTTAAAAAAATTTAAAAAAAAACTAAAAAAGATAATGAAACAGAAATAAAAATGAAGAAAAATAAAGACATTTCTTTCAAGGGATAAGCTGAGAAGATTGGGGGTTCAACTCTCAATATCAAGGCCACGAATTTCGGCAGACCGGAAATTCCTCCTCGTCGTTGGGAAAACAAGTCACACCTTCTGATGCAATCCGAGTTCTTTGCTCTCGCCTTTGTTATAACTTTGAACCAAGTTCTGGTACATGTCCTCGACCTCGAGGAGGTTGTCTTCATGCAATGCAATGTCAGCCTCGACCGCTTGGAGTTTGCTCAAAAGACTTCTGACGGAGGCCAAATCCTGTAATTAATCGCATATAGTTTTCCCCGCGTTCGATTTCTTTTTTTTTTGCTATTCAACTTTTAAAAAAATTGATTTTGAAATACTCACGTTACCAAACATATCTGACTGTAACGTCGACTCTACATCGTCCAGCCAGAACTCTAAATCTTGGACATTTTCCAAAAAATGTTTTTGGTCGTTTGCTTCTTTCATCCTGAAACAACACAATAAACAGAAAAAAAGCGTGGAAAAAACCTCAAAGTTTTCTCAGCGGTGACTTTATTCAGTTTATTCCACTTTTTACTCAGGTCACTCAACTTTTCGTCTACGGGATCGTCCTTTTTCCACTTGCTCACCGAGTTTCTTGCATCTCAATGGCGTTGGATCAAGGAAAGAATAAATTTGAAAGTTTTACCTTCCAAAAAAGTTTGAACTCTTTTGTGATTTGCTCGTAGTTCTGCCTCGAAAGCTTGCTGTTTTTCGTAATTTTGCCTTATGTTGGAACCGTAGAAGTTGTCTTCGAGAGCAATCTGAAAGTTAGAGTTCCAAATGAAGAGAGAACCCATCACACTTCAAATTTATCGGCAATCCACCGCTCCATCTCCTCGGCGTCGTCATTGATCTGCTGAACGGTTTGCGATTCTCCGAGCTCTTTTTGACTCTCGTTGAAACGTCGTTTCAAGTTGTTCCAGCTCGAGATCACGTCGTCGCGTTTCAGCGCAACGTTTTCGCTATCGTAGTGTCTCTCAGAAACCAATGTGTCAGCCATTGACTGGAATCTTGTCTTCCGGTGACCAGACGAGTGAACTTGCCGTAAGACGCTTTATCTTCTCTTCTTCAGCTAAAAGAGCCTTCCGTAGTTCTTCATTTTTCTTCTGCACTGCTTTGAGATTTTCTGTTCCTTGAGATTCACGCTCTAAGATAGCGTCTCGAGCCCGAATCCAGCATTTTTCCTATTATATTTTGAAATATAATGAGATGCATATATGAAAGGAACTTTTTCCCAATCGCGATTGAAAAATTGAAGTTCAAGGCATTGTTCGAGGACTTGCCGACGCTGCAGCCAAGCATCCTCCAGTTGATTCCGAAAATCATTCATCTGCAACGAAGTTCTTCCAGTTGTGAATACACCAACAAAAAAACTTTGTTCAAGCGTTCAGAAATGATTGGAGTCTCACTGTGCTTGTTCGAGATGAGCTGATGACCGAACTGATCAAAGCTGAGAAAAGCCGGAGCTCGAGCGTCAATCTCCAATCTTTAAAAACGGGAAAATTTGGTTTGAAGATGAAATATAACCTGTATTCATTATGAGTTTCCAGAAGGGCTTCTGCTCCAGTGACGTCGGTGGCGAGCTCGTTTTTCAACACCAGCTGATTCATGGAAGTGATCCATTGGAGGAGATCGCGATATTCCGATAAGAAACGATGGTAGTCATGAGCATCAAGTAACAGCCCTTTTCTGTGTAGAAGAGAAAATGATTGCATTGATCGAAATATAATTAACATTATATATTCCATGTCTTTTGCGAGAAAAGGGAGTTTTTCAGAAAAAAGGGTGAAATATCTGGTTAGTTTAGGTTGAAAATGTCAACTGATAATTCGATTTGAGATATTAGCCAATACTTCTCTTTCCTCAAAACTTTTTGATCTATTCTCTTCCTTTTTTTCTGAGCTCCTGAAGCTTTTTCCTGAAAACATATTATCTTAATAAAAATAGAACCTGAAGTTCGCTCGAATCACGAGTTGATCCCAGCGTTCGCTCAGTTCACGCTGCAAGTCGTATATATGTTGGGCTGCTTCCGGATGTGATTTGCGCAGAAGGTTGGCCTGGAAACGGTTAGGGGTTCCAAAAAGATAAAATTTCCTCACGATGTCGTCTAAGCGCGCACGTTTTTCATTCAAAGCATCAAGTTCATGTTCGACGCCCTCGTGCCTTTTTTGCAATGCCTGTACCGAAAGAATATCTCGTCCAACGTCATCACTATTCAGAACGTCCAATTTTTCCTGAAAAACCAGGTGTATACATAATTTAGGAGCGGAATCTCACGCGAATGCGGTCCATGACCTCTTCAACGTCAGTATAGAAGCGTTGAATAATTTTGACGGCGTCTATCTGCTGCTCACGTTGCATTGAAGTCTCTTCAAGGTGACGCCACCTGAAAATAACGAAAGGTGAATAAACATTAGCGACGTTTAGAAGAAGAACCTCAAATTGAGCTCTTCAATCCGCGATTTGATCCGAGAGGTTGTTTCAGACTTCCTCATACAGATGATCGCTCCAGCTGTTTGAAAAATTGGAACTCAAGATTTGCATTGAAAAAAAGAACCTAAATCGTTCATTCGTTTCAGCTTCTCCTCGTGTTCCTTGAGGTCGCCCTTGAAGACATCAAACTTTTTCGTCACGAAATCGACTTGGTCAAAGTCTGACGCGATGTGCTGGGAAGTTGCCGATTCCTCAAAATAAATAATACAGAAGAAGAAAAAAGAGGAATTACTGCTCGGTCTATCCATTCAGTGAGATTTTCTGCTTCTCGCAGCAGCTGGAAGGCTTTCCAAGCGTCGTCGAGTTTTCTATACAGAAGGATAAAAAAAAGGAAAAAAAATTTTTTTTTTTGAAGCATCTCAATAGCCACCCCTGCACTTCACAAAAATAAACCGAATATTTTGAAACAAGAAACAATTTACTTGTTTCGCTCTTCTGCAAGTTTGATCAGAACGTCGTATCTTTTCTCGATGCTTTTCTGAGTGTGGACGATGTCGTGCATCTGAAACCCGGCACTATTGAAGGATCGTGGAGACAACGACGGAGACCAAGTCCTGCTCACGACCGAGTTCCACCCGTTTCACGTGCCCGGAAGGAACAAATCCTTGACGGCCATTCGATTCTACTTTCCACCAGTCTTTGTCAGAAGAGTTGATGACCGGGAAAATGGCGCCTTTCTCGAAAGAAACCTCGTTTGGTGAGCTCGCACGATAATCCACTAAAGCGACGACATATTCCCGACCTGAATTACGAATTAATCTGAGATATTCTGCGATTGAACCACTGAAGTCGTGGGTGTCGCATCTTTCAGCTCTATCTCTCAAACTTTCGATCTTTCCTTTGAAAGCAATAAGGTCGGAGAAAAGAGCCCGGTGCTTCTAAAATTGGCCAATTCGACGTGGTAAACACAGCCTGAACCTTCAGTAGAATTTCCGCGCTATCTTCGTCCTTTCCGAGTTCTTTAGAAAGAATCGCAGGCTCTTTCTCCAACAACCAAACTTCGGCCTCTTTCGCATCAGAAAGAAAGAGATGGGTCTGAAAATGGAAGAAAAACGAAACTTCTGAAATGGAGATGGTACCTCAAACAAGTTTTTCAAAACATTGTACCCATCCTCCACCTCCTTCTTGAGCTGTTTCCAGCCCTCACTCAGCTTTGTCGCTTTTCCTCGAAGTTGGTTCTGCATAGTGCCCTACAAAAAAGAACAACTAGATGAAAGCAAGTTCAGAAAACAACTTTGTTGAGTTTTTCATCGGCGTTGCGCAAGACGTACTCGATTTGGCCTTCATGGCTTTTTATCTCGGCGCCGAGGGCCTGTTGCTTCTTGAGGAGACGTGGCGCAGCGGCGGGATCGCTGCAGTTGCTCTTCACACGCGCCAAACTCAACTTCTCATCTATCCAAGCAAGTTCTTCGTCGATCTCGTGAATGGCATGAATCACGTCAGATGACTCGTCCAACAAAGCTTTCCGCCTTTCCAGAAGAAGGAATGAGTTCTCAACATTCGAACTTGAATATTAATGTCTTTGCCTACCTACCTCATAGCGTTCGCGTGATATTTTCAACTTTTCGACCAAATCAAAGATCCCCGAGTGGTTCTTCTTGGCCATTTGCTCGGCCTAGAGCTACCTTAATTATTTAATTTGAGAAGGGGAGCCTACCAGACTGTCGAGAAAGCTCAGACGACCAGCGTACTCTTCGTAGTCACAACTGATAATATTCAGCTCTTTCTGAAGGCTTTTTACTGCTTCTACATTCTCACCAACATATTTCGAGGACACCTGAATCTACTTTTCAACTAAAAAACCACTACGACTAACTTTGGACTCGAAGCTTTCGAGCCACTTCAGGAAATCCTCGGTTTTTTGTAGGAAAAGCTCTTCGTCCTCGGTCTCTTGTAACTTTGTTCTGATTTCCGCAAAAAGACTAAGCAGATCGTTCCACTTGGCTTCTAATTGCTCGATACGTCGCCGTACCTATGAAAAAGGTACATGAGATTGGGAAAGGTTCGCACATCTGCAGAGTGGTCATCATTGTCTTTCAGCAGCTTCTTTCCTTCCACTCGGACGCTCTCCAGGCGATTTTCGTTGGCTTTCACTTCTTGCTCGCAATTAGAATGTCTTTGTAGTTTAGCTCGCAGTCCGATCAAATTCGAATCACTTTTATGTTCAGCACTCAACTGGAAATGTGCGAATAGATTTGAATTTGAGGAGATTTCTTGTATTTTAAGACTCGCACTACAATAGATCTTTCCAGCATTTATAAAATGATCGTTTCAAAAAATTTCCAATTATCCATGAAGAAAATTCTGAAACCTTCTCGAAACTTCAAAAGAACAAAAGGAAACAAAAATTTTGGAAAGCGAAAAGAATAATCTCAACGAATGTAAATTAACAAAAATAAACAAACAAATGGAGACTCACTCGCAAAGATTCAATTTTGGTTTCGATCCAGCTCTGTAGATCGGTGCAATCACAAAAAAAAGATTCATATTGAAGGCTTCGCTGAAATCAATCAAAGAGTTATGAATCACTGAAAACTATTGAACATTCAATTGAGCAAGTCGCTTTTGGGACAAGTCGAGAATACGCTGTCTTCTTTCCAGTATCGAATTGCGTTGCTGAACGATTTCTTCAGAAGCTGGGTGATTATTCTGAACGAAAAAGTTTTGATCAGCTTTGATAATAATGAAAAACTTGAAGGAGTTTGTTGAAAAGATCTTCGATGTTGCGAACTTTCTTTTCATGGGACATGATGGATCTCTCGAAGTCTTGGTGTTTCTTGAGAAGCTGCTCGACTTCTTCTAACGATTTTCCGTCGACCGAATTCGCTAAGAACGTTTCCTAAGTCGTTATGGTTTACGAATATAAACGTTTGGAAAGCCCACTTGTCTGCTCATCCAAGTTCCTGCCTGTTCGCAGTCTCGGTAAAAAAGTTGCAATTCTAACAATTGTTCGTAAAAATTGCATTTGTTTCTCCACAACACGCGCAATGCTTCATCATCGTTGGCCAGTTTTTCCAATTTATTACGTATCTGTTTTTTTGAAAAGAACTGAGATTTCTGTCATATTGAACAAACTTCTTCTTTTTCAGGCACATTCAATTCGATGAGCTCTTTTCCAAGAGAAGAAACGCGGGTAAGAAGATTTTCTCTGCGAACGTCTTTTTGAAAAAAAGTGAAATTCGAAAAGCTCATTTTCAAGAGATGTTCTTTCGCATTACTTTGGTTCAGGAAAAGGGGTAATATACAACATGAAATTCTTTTTTTCAACTCAACTACATTTGCAGGGTTTTGTACACAAATGGAGCAGGGCGAAAACTTCGTAGAACTCAACTAGAAATACAATTAACAAACGCCTTAAAAATTAGATAAAAGAACGAAAACTTTAAACAAAAAAGCGTTCATCAGACCTGGCTCGTATTTCCCCTTTCAATTCGAGATGTTGTTCGAGCAGAGATTCCGCATCGGCGACATCGATTGCGCTGGTGTCGGCAGCGAGAATCGCCTGAATACCATCTCAGAGCTTCTACTGAGACGGAACTTGGCACCTGCATATCACTTATCCAGGACGACATTTCGCGGTGATCTTCAACGAACTGGAACAAATCGCGGCTTCTAGCGAGATCTTCTTTTCTATTCTGAAAAATATTCGCTCTGATAACACTTTGATAATAGCTTTTCAAATAGTGTGAAAATTTATGATTTCCAGAATTAGAGAGGATTTTTCATCGTACAACTGAATTTTTTTTTTGAGTATAAATAAAAACTTTGAGATTACATTTTCGAGTACTACATATCAGAATTTCGAATAACTATTACCTTAGCACCGACTTTCAAACTGTCCCACGCGTCCAAAACTTGCGATAAGCGTTCTTGAATTTCCTTAGAATGATCTTGATGGTTTCCCGCGACTTTCATCGACTCCTGTTTCAGTTGTTCGATCTTCATTTCTACAGCCGCGAGGTCCCGCAGGACGCCCTCGTGCTTCCGCTGCAGCTGACTGACGCTTGCACTGTCGCGTCCGTTCTCCTCATTCGACACTATTGCGTTCTGTAAAGAACAACTTCCTTCCACACATTTTGGTTTCCGGCGGTAGGCTTTTATATAGGGGAAGGAAAAGATTATCGTTCCATTTTTCAAGCTTCATCTTCAATACTATGATTTTTTTCTGGTTTCTCTGAGTCCTATCCTCGATTCTTATGTGTACAACTTTTTTTTAAATTGGTGCCATTTTCAGGATTTCAAATTTTCCAGTCCAGAACTTCGCAGAAAGTAATCTACTAAGGTATATTTTAATATTTTATTAGCACATTACACTTCATTTTCTGCACGCAATTCATGTGAGTAACTGGGTCAACACAAAAAAATCTAACCAGGGAACGTTTTTTACCCCCCGGTTGAACTTTTGCTGAAACTTTGCTGAAGTGTACTTTAGGACTCCCTGATTGCAGATCAAGAAGAAAATTTCTCGCAATAGATCTTGTTTCCGAGTTATGGAGCTTCAAAGTGTGCAAAATACGCAAATTAGGCCAAAAAAGCGCTATTTCGGGCTTTTGAAGTGTCCTAACTCGAAAACGAGATCTATTGCGAGAAATTTTCTTCCTGTTCTGGAATCAGGGGGTCCTAAAGTACACTTCGGCAAAGTTTCAGCAAAAGTTCAACCGGGGGTAAAAAAAGTTCCCTAGTAAGAAAAAATATATATATATATATAAGTGAGTTTTTAATCGAATCGAAGTGAAAAAAACTCTGAATCGGTAACATACTATCAATCGTAGTGTATCTTTATTCAGTTTTCATGTTGTATGATGAGTTTGAGAAAAGCAGGAGAAATCAGTCTTCAAACTCAAGAAATTTAAGAAAAGACTGGTCTTCTACCTTCTCTTTCATCCAAACAAGCGTTTCGGAAATCTCGTGGTTGAGCCTCTGGACTTGCTGGGCTCCGTAGAGTTTTTCTTTGCGGATACCAGCCAACGTTTTCAAATTATTCCATTTTTCATTCACTTCTCCGAGTTTCTAAAAACAAAACAGGTAATTAAATATACTTGAAAGTAATTAACGAGTTTTATCTTCAATAAGAAATTTTATTTCGAACTTTTTCATGGACAGATAAATTTTCTCATCCTTCTTGTGCTTTTTGAGAATTTCTGAGCAAAAAGTTATAGACAGTTTTCGCCAAATTGTAAGGCGATGGAGTTGCAGAAGTGAAGTGTTACATTCAAGACGTGGCTCTTAGCGAATGATGAAAACTCCATTTTAGAAAAAGATTACAGAAAAAAATTCAGTTTTCAATTTTCATGAAGAACATGAAAAAAATTGACTGGAAAAACTATCATAAAATGGAAAAAAATTAAAAATGGCGATTCGCGTTTGAAATTGCATTTCCCGCCAACACCCGCGTCGCGATCGCAACAATTCTCACATTCCGACTTGCCTATAGCCCCTTTTAAGTCCGGAAAATTTACTATACATTGAAAATCTATGAAATATAATTTTTTTGAACGAATGACCTTGGTTATAAGTGTCTGTGTTCTGTATGAAAACATCTAAACTGTAAAGTTCTTATCATTAAATTTATCTTGCCCTCTCCTACTTTCCCCGCGCTGGATTGAACTAATACTTGACGTATCAGTAATTCTTTCAGAAAAAATACTTGAAAATTTACATCAAAATATTTCGCGAGAAAAGAGTTCCATCCTACATTAAATATAATCACACCTCCAAACCATGCGAGAACTCCGTATTTTCGGTATTTCCGAAGGCCTCGGCTGCGAAGTTGACGTCGTTGACCCGGTGCTGTTGGTTGTGCATGTCTCTGAGAAAAGAGTCGAATCGCAGCTGCATGTCTTCCACACTTTCTGCACTGGTGTCAATTGTTTCGAGCGTCTTTTCCTGAACAACGGGCATCGACAGGCCAGATCTTCGAAACAGACTTCCTCGTGGATCCAGTAAAGGATGTCATCGCATTGTCGAATGAACTGCTGCATGACGAGGACTCGTCGAAGTCGAGTCGCTTTCTCGTCTATTTGATAAAAAAGCTTTTCCCAAAGAGCATGAAGCTCTTCGAGTCGCTTCTGAAAGTATTACAGTTGCATATTTTGAAAAATAACCAAAAACCTTGATCAGGTCACTATTGAAATTTTTCTCAGAAATCATTTCCGCGCCATTTTCGTCCAAACCATTGAGAGTTTTTGAATTCGCTTGAACTTCAGCTTTGAAAACCTCGTGCTTTTGGATTTTAGTCTTAAAATCCGTCAAAGTTGTAATGATTAATGGTGACGAAGCGTACTTGGAGATTGGCTATATCAAAACTGTTTTCTTCCGGAATTGTTTCCAATTTTTCTCGCATCCAAATCTCGAATTCATCGGTTTCTCTGTCGTTAGAAATTTTATGGGTTTGAATTTCAGAGACTACCTTTTAAAATAAAGAAATCGCCTGGCTTCTTCCAAACGTTCTCGTTTTTCCATAGCAAAATCTTTAAATTGGTCATGGTGGTTCAAAACGGCGTCCCGTCGACGTTGCAAAAACTGGAAAATTCAGTGAAAGTTTTTGTACTGAAGGAGAGGTCAATTTACTTCAATTTCTTCTTCGACGTCCTTTCTTGAGAGTCCATTTGCAATCTGAAATTCGACTATTTAAAAAAGAAGCAATACTTTGAAGATAGCACTGATTATTGATAATTTTAGAGCTCCAACATAAAATCTCTGTGTTCTCGATTTTCGAACGCTCTTTAGTATGAGATTGAGGTATTCCGTCGTATCTCGTTAATTTTGATTAGTAAAATGAATCCCAACTAACATTATCTTCAGTGGCGTCGTTAAAGCTTGCCTCTTGAACGGTTTCCAAACAGCTTGTCTTTTCCAAAGCGCTCATTGTTTCTGGAAATAACCAGGTGAATATTCAAACAAACGAATAAAAACTCCAACGTGAAGATTTCTGTCCACCGGTTTTTCTGACATAGAAAAACTAAACTACTTGAAAAATATTCAACAATTTTGGAACCTATTATAATGAAACTTATTTAACTAAAACGTAAAAGTCTTTATGAACTATTTGATGGCGGGTTTTATAGATTTTCTTTCTGACCGTTTAATTTTGAACGAACTTTGAAAAAGGCATAAGAAAGAGTAATGAGCGAATAAAAACAGATAAAAGTTAGTGCCGTGTTCAAAGTGATTCCGCGAAATTCAAAATAGCCGTCAGAGAAAGAGAAAGATAACTAAATTTTGGAGGGTCAGAGACCATTTTGCATTTCGCGGAAATTACTTTGAACACGGCATAGAAGCAACGAAAAAATTGAATACTCGCGCGGAACATCACGTTGGCGCGCATTTAGCGGAAGTATCATTTTGTATTGTTTTTTTTATTTTTCGTTTTGGTTTATGAACTGAATTCAGCATTAAAAAAGGGATGGTTTAGCATGGCTTTTAAACTCTCAATGATCGCCTAGCCCCAGCCAATCGCACTATATAAGCGAAAAATAACTTTTTAAGAATTTTTTTAAAATATCACACACTAATCGGGCAGGGATATCGAGTTCCAGTAGTCTATCGAATGTTCTGAAGCTTAAAGATTGTACCACAGTTGTACCTTGCAAAATTATAGAAGAAAAATTTTCTATATCAGAAATTCAAACATTCGAATATTTCTCTTACTTATTTTTTTTTCGACAAATTTGAGCTTTGATAAACTGCGCCGCGCCAGGCGTTGTCGTCGCACATCTGGATTGGCGCATCATTCATCGTTGAATTCTCGGATAAAATGCTTCTCCGGAATTTACAAGTATCAATTATATGCGTGCAACCATATAAGGATCTCGATAAACAGGAATTAATTCGAAAAATTTACTGCACATTTCACAACTTCCATCTTTTTCACAATCACTAACCATGGTAAGCTAGAAAAAGTCTTTCATAATCATTCAGGTAGCACTACTGTTAGCAGCTTTCAATCTGCGCCTTGTATCCGGCACTGCTGTTTTTTTTTCTGGAATCCATTTTGCTTTTTAGGTCGATTACTGTAAATTTCTCATAAAGGTTTTGTTAAATTGCAGTTCATTCTTTATTTTTTTCAAATTTCATTTGGAAAATTTTTACATTGACAGGGTGATCCAATCCATTAATTTTTTTCGATTCTCGACATTGATGGGCGAAAAATATCCGAGATGAAATGGCTTTCCCAAGAAGTTTCTGCAAAGGGCTACGGTGGACCAGATGTGCAGATCATCTGGAAGTCGGCTGCTAACACGACCGTCAGCGACTCTTCTCGCTCACAATTCGTTCCACGCTTCGATGCCTAAGGACTTTTCGATCGAAGCGATTCTGAAGGTTGACGAGAAGACGACGACTTTCCGGCCTCGCGTTTTTCTTCAAGGAAACACCCTCTGGAGAAGATTCCACGAGCTCGGAACCGAGATGATCGTCACCAAAAGTGGCAGGTTTCGAACAGAAAAATAATCTAGGGCTTTCGCGCAACCAACTTTTGGAGAAATGTGTCAAATGTTTTCTTTTCGTTTCTTTTGGCTCTTTTTTTAGTGCCATGAGAATGAAAATAGGGCGCGGCCCTTATTTATATAGCAGAGAAAAGAGATGAGATATAATTCTTTGGGAACTCAGGAGAATGTTTCCAACGCTTTCTGTCGTGATAGTCGGACTGGATCCAGCTCAGACATATGTACTGATGGTGGACCTGGAGTGTGTCGACAATCGTCGGTATCGCTACTCCTTCCATCAGAGTCGATGGACGGCCACGGGACCCGGTTTTGGTCGAAATCTTCATTTGACTTGGAAAGTACTGGTTCAGGAGAAATAGAGCTGCCGAGTCGGATGTTCGTGCATCCTGATAGCCCAGCGACAGGAGCTCACTGGATGAAGAGCCCTGTCAGTTTCGACAAGATGAAGCTCACCAACAATCAGCTTGACGAACACGGCCATGTTCGTTCGCTTTTTGTTGTTTTGAAGGGGCCGTCTACTTTTTTTTTTTACTAAGATTTCTTCTTAGTCTAAGAAGCCTTTTCCATTTAATCCCCAAATCAGTTTTTGTATATACGAACCTTTAGTTCTTTTAGTTTCCCATTTTCTAACCTAAACGACTTTTTTTTGAGCTGCATGAGTCAAATCTAGTAACTTCATCAATCAACTTTGTCATAATCAGTTTCTGCTCGATAAAAATGAGCGATGAAAATCTTCAGAGAGAGTATACCACCAAACTTGACCTTTCTTCAGAATATTTTTTAGATCTACCGCTTCACTCATTCTCTTTCAGAATGTGACGGTTCAGATAGTTTTGAAAAGCGAACAACCGAAAAAAAAAACATATTTATGACCTAAACTACAAACTACAATAAGAATACTCGTATCCATCAAAAAAAAATGGAAGTTCAGATTGTGGTCAACTCGATGCATCGGTACCGACCGCGGATTCACGTTATCGCCGACGATGACACTCGCTGCGTTTTCAGCTTCGAGGAAACGTCTTTCATTGCCGTCACAGCCTATCAAAATCACAGGGTTTCCTCTTGAACTTTTTTTTCCAAACACTGAGCTCCTCTTCAGACTAAACCAAAATTTTCTTTCAGATAACGACGCTGAAGATCGAGTCGAATCCATTCGCCAAAGGGTTCCGCGAGTGCGAGCTCGACGACAGCCGATTCTGGCCTCTCATTCTGCCGTTTCTCACTTTTAACAACGGTCCTAACATTTGACTTTGTTTCACATGAAAGACCGACAGATGGGTACGTCTTGGTTCAAAAATAATTAAGTTGCAAATAAATCTTCTTTGATAGTTTTAGCTGTTTGGTCGCAGTGTTCCTGTGCATATTGATCAAGTTTGGAAATGAGGTTTTGAGTTGGTTTCGATTTTATGAGATATCCTTAATAGAAGTCTCTCCAGCCAGGCACTTTCAACCGTAAAACATGAAATATTGTCTGAAGCCAGAGGCGAATTTCATGTATTTTTTTCTCGTTAACAGAGCGAACTTCATTTTCGGTGTTAAAATGAAGACACTTTTGACGAACGAGAAAAGACAAGAATCCCTGACAATTAGCTGAGGATGGACGAAATAATCGATCAAAATGCCCTGAGGAAGCCTGACAAGAAGCGCTCGGGGCATAAATCATGCGTACACGAGTCACTGACGAGTCGCAATCACGAAAGTTTGCCAACAATCGGCGCGGAGGGCGGCCGCCTGTTGGCTCTATCCATCATCGTCGCTCAAGGTCTCGCCAAAGTTTGCGAGGCTCCGAGTTTGCCGACGACACTCCGTTGGCGGTGCCGGTGGTCAAGTGTATCGCAGCAAACAACGCGTCCCTTTGTGCTCGGTGTCTTGTTTCATTGCGCAACATCCAAAACTGTTCAAATCCTTGTCAGATCGTTAGATGCCCCACTTGAACAACGTTTTCAGATGTTATCTTTTGTAGTCTTTTGATGATCATATTTGAACTTTTTAGGTGCATCGAGCCGACATTTCAAACCATTGTGCTGGAAATCTTGTAATCAAAAAAGTCGATCAGGAGATCTCTAGCATACTCAACTTCTTTTCAGGAGAATCTTCGACTACGCGGAACGAATTTGGTCGCGCCATGACAAATCTTTAAAGTAACCCATAAGACTCCTTTGATGCTGTTCCCAATCACATCACAAATGAAAATAAGAACGTAAAACTTTGAGTTACGTTTTTTTTTTTCAACTTTTTTACGGTGTTATGTGCACCACCTATAAATAATAAAAATTAACTCTCACTTCAAGATTTTCTAAAATTAAAAAAAATCCTCAAAGCTAATTTTAATTCACCAATAAAATTAGAAATAATTTTTCTTCTGTTTAACGTTTTTTTTTTTCGTGCCCCTCACGTCGTAGACATCATGGAAAAATTTTTCATGCGTTTATTCGACGATAATCATCTTCCTCAAAAAGTTGCTTACGATGACAAAATCTTTTGAGGCCTGCAGTCGGGAAAAAATATTAAATAAAACAGTGATTAGACCGAAACGCCAACTGCGCCCCTGGCTCTAGCTTTAAAAAATTATCAACGGCATACATTTTCACAAAGCTTGAATACGGTATCGGAGCAGAGACACGCAATGCTCAAAACAAACATTGTCAAGGGATATCTGTGGTCACGGCGGCTAATCCAGGCCAAAAGAATGGCGGTTAGCACTCGGGAATGCGATTGGATCGGTCGCCTGTCAAACACGGGGCTCATTGTTGGGTGCATGCAATTTAAGCGTCAGCTCCGACATCGGCCTTGTTTCATCTCCGGCCGACCTCATAAACAACTGTTCGGAGCTCGGATCCAACAAGCGCGTTCGTTCAGTACCAGTACCGCAGACTCAAGAAATAAGAAACCTTGTTGATAGGCAACAAAAATGAGAAATAAGTTCCAACTGAATTTTTGGATCAGGGTTCATTAAAACCTACGGAGAGAAAGAAAAAAAACGTACTTTTCATTTTAAAGAAGACTTTGAAATTTCAAAACTTGAAAACCTGTGCTTGCGCACAGTCATGATCTTTGGAAGTTTCCGTTTTTTTTCTGAAAAAAGGATGATTTCCTTTTTTGTGACACCAAACCAATAATTACTTTGCTGTGTACTTTAGCTAGATGAACGAAGAGAAAGTTTCCATCTGCGATTATTTTTCCTAAATCACGGGAAAGTCAAAGCTAGTTTCCTTCAAAACTTTACTGATAATTGTTTTGCAAATGGCGTACAGGATGACAGTTTTGTTTTAAAATAAATTGTTCTATCAAAGTTTCTGAGATTTCTTAAGCACAAAGAGAAAGGACTCTATAATGACAAGACTGCTAGTTTCCTTCAAAAATTCCCATTTTCACTTGACACGCTCAAATATTGAACGGAAAACTGCGCCAGGTCGACGTCTTCAAGGGAATCGCCCTCGAGTAGAGGATTTCGCAGTTTGGCCTAGGCAAGGGGCTCGCGCGGCCTCTGTGCGCCAAAGAGAGCATTACGACGGAAGCGACGATACTGTCACTCAAGTGGCGGCGAGATGAAAGACGCCGCATCGTGGCAGACGACTCGTCCCAATGATAAGTCGATTAGAGCGACACCTGCCTGAAGATCCGCTCGTGCGCCCACCTACAAATCCCACAAAAAACAAGGTCTTCCGCATTTTTTCGCAAGATTAACTGAAAAGGATAATTTTCGGTAAGCTCTCTTCTCTTCTCGAGTGTGTCAAAAAGATAATTCTTATTTATAACGATGAAACGAGGTCTGATGGCTGTTCATGCCGGGTATCAGGGAAATTGCATCTCTCCTGAAAAAATGCCAACCGCCTATATTACTTCAAACTTACAATTCCCTGGTTGCGCTCCGCTTCTTTTCAATTAGTTGGCCCGAAAACTTTCGAGAGATATTTTCCAAAGAGATAGTGAACTTTTTATTTCATGTGGAACAAAATATGTGAGAAATTAGACGGCATCCGAGCAATAATGTTTGTACAAAACTAAAAAAACAGTAGAAAATGTTTTCCCTGTACACAGTCTCGCATTCAAAAGAATTCAGAAAGACTTGGAACTCCAGCTTCAACTTGAGACTAAGCGGGCATTCCGTGAATTTAATTCATCGGTTTGTTCGCAAAGAAAAACTTGTTCTATGACTACCGTAGGAATCCTAGACTGATAACCGACTGATAATGGGCGGCCTGCCTGCTAATTCAAGGCGACAACTCAAGAATAACAATAATCTGTCTTGACGCGACACCCCGTTTCTGGTACGGTAGCCAGTCGGAAGGCTCTTTCAGTAAGACTATTTGAATGCGAGAGCTGTCAAGACATTCCAGGCACGTTTTATGTGGGAAAGAACAATAAGAGAAATTGGGAAGAGTGCGACCCGTGCTGTGTGAGCTAGTTTCTTTGTCCAATTTGAGCGAGTTGTTGAGAAACATTTGAGGGAAGGTTTGAGGGTTCACAAGAGGCGGCCGATATAAATAAATAGAACGTTCACAAAAATACACAAGTAACGAGCTTATCGTAACGAACTGGTTGAATTTGCGATATACTCGGTGACTTTTACAGAAGTTGTGAAACCTTGGAATCTTCCGGCGGCGTCGTTGGCGAATTAGAATCCCAAGTGGCTCGGGCCAGGAACAGCTTTTCTTTTTCGCGTTTCTTCTCCTTCATCCGCCGATTTTGAAACCAAATTTTCACCTGAGATCGTTCATGTTGCCTTTTTTATAGAGCCGGAAAACCTGCGCTTCTTGGAGTTTGAGGTTCTGGGCAATCTCTGTACGGCGTGTCCTGTTGACGTATTTGGCCGTGTGGAACTCTTTCTCGAGCTCTGTGAGTTGCAGCGTAGAGAAATTCGTTCTATTCGTTCCATTTTCGTCCACCACCTTCTTTTTCGGCACTGAAATGCACGACTTGATAAGGTTAAGGTTTTTCATATAACCCAGAAAGCAAAAATTACTAAACTCTGTCACTCCAAATATTCTCCCAGCGCATTCAAAAGAAAAACTGAACGTTCATGCGGAATCTGCGGCATTAGTCGTTGTTATCTGATGCGTCGGACACAGACGCCCGTCGGCCGAGAGTCCCAAAGAAACGAGAAATCGAAAACGGGCGGCTCTCATGCCTACCGTAATCGTGAAATCGTGTGCAGACTCAAATTTTTGCCGAGAACTTCTCTTTCTCGCAGAATCTCTTTGAAACTTTTATTTCCAGCTAAACTCTAATAACTGAAAAAAGAATGTAAAAATGATGGTCCGATCACTTCGAATGTTTTTTTTTTATGTTTGACTATAACTGAATATAACTTGAATATAACTGTGTAATTGATTTCAAAATTGTAAATTATAATCGAATCAAATACCTGTCTCCTCACTGAATGATATTCTTGAAAGATGCTAGGAACAAGAAGAGAGAAACAGTCGGAAACCAACATATGAGCAGCATAAATTAAGCATTGAACAAATGTTCATCATCGCGCAACCAAAAGACGCAAATTTGCATCGCAGCTGTGATCAATCTTACTGGCAACCGTGTGAAATTTCTCGATGCCTCACGGATCGCTACAAATTTCGATTAAAAAAACTTGGACCGAACGGAATTTTATCTCCCAGAAATAGTAGGGAAGGAAGAATGAAACCATGAATTTCGGAGCATTCTCGTGAAAGTATAAAAGAATTATCGCAACGGAAAGTTGAAAAGGTGGAAGAGTCCGACAGAGCCTCGGGCGATTCCCAACATTGATGGATGAGCTTTTCGGGGACCTGTGGTCGACGCTATCGATCGGCCACACTTCGACCAGCTGATGCTGATCTTGCCAATAACGTTAAAGGTTTGCGAGAAATTGGAAGTGTCTTATAGCGGGCAAAAAAAAAAATGAAAATATCAGCAAAAAAAAGGTAGGGAAAAATAATTTCCTGTTAAGCTATGAAGTTCTTGTAGAAAGATCGGGAAGAGTATTTTTTCTTTTTTGAATGTTAAGACCAGAATCCCTCAAATGCGATTGAAACAATCGTTGATTTTTGTGCTGTTTCGACTTTCTATTTGCAGGTCTAGTTTCAACCATTGCACTTTATTTAGTACTTTTAAGGTTGATCTTACCAGTTTTTCCCTTACTACTTTATCGTTGATTTGTTGGGGAAAAAATTAATCAGGATTGGCGCGCAAGAAAAAAAATCTTTCAAACAATTCCCAAGTCGTTCTTAATTTTATAAGTTTAAAAAATAGTCATGACAAGGAAGCTGCAAATATCAAAAAAATAATAATTTAAGTCGTTTATAGATTACTTTTTTTTTTGGTTCTCTTCGATTCGACCGAAAAATTTTTGAATTAAGTGGAACTTTATCGAAGTGGAGGCAATTATAATTTGTAGCTCTCTTCCTCCACGCCACAGATCTGTCTTTGAGCGAAATGAACATTTCCTTTCATTCATTCATGATGATCTTTCTCTTTCTTAAAGTATCCTTATTCGCTAGTTACGAAAATTCTCCGGAGGCCTGTCTACTCTTTATGGTTGAATCCAGCCCGTGTATTTTCATTCATTTTTCTATTTGTCTATCCCTTATTTAAATGGCAATGATTCGGTCGCTTCTCGCTGCGACACTTTGAAATGTTTCCTTCCAAACTTTCTTCTTCTTCAATTACATCATAAAAGTCGAAAATAAATCAAAACAAAACTGTTCTTCAAATCTCAAATTCGAGAGAGATAGAGAGCGACATGGCAGTGAGACTTTGATGAAGGGCTTCTAAGCTTCATGTAAATAAATCTTATCAACAACGCTTTTTGAATGGAAAAAAAAACAAGTGTAATTTGAACCTAAAATGCTGCAACAAACCCCTGTATTCGCATTGCTTCAACTTGAAACCAAATAAAAACCGAAACTGACCGACGGGTCTTTGGGCGCGTTTTGTGTGCATCCACTTGTATGTGCTTTGGAGCTGGTGGTGATGCTGTGCATGGTGAGCCGGAGTCTGAGCGAACTGAGCGGCCGTCGTCGTCGTCGGCGTCGACCACACGTCCGACGTCGACGGCGGAGGCAACAGCGGAGAGTAGGAAGTACTCGATGTCATTTCACTTTAAGAGAAAAGTTAAGCACCAAAGCTCAGAAAGTATAAACTCCGGAAAATATTTTCTGACGCCCTTTATAAAGGTTTCAAACTAAACTAAACAATCTTTTTTGAAAAGCAGACCGTAAAAAACGCTTTACTGAATACTGTAAAAGCGAAAAAAGCTTTCGAGTAAGTTTCGCAAATTGAGACTTCCGCCTAGTTCATCAAAGAAGATCATAAGAACTCTTCAGTTTTTCGAATAGTAATTTTCATCATGGGGTCAGAGAAATAATGGAGTAAAACTATAACAATCAAGAGTTCTATCAACACACACAATTTCGTGTTTTCCAAATCTATAAAAAGCTTTTCAGTACCTGCTTCATTTTGTACATGCATACTCACTTAGTGAACTTTATTTGTTCAAAAAATATTAAGTAATTAATTCCATAAAGGAAAAAAGAAAACGAAACTGAGGAAACGGCAATCGGAGTAAAGAGAGAAATAACTAAAACTAACCGAGGAACGTAGGAAGCGTAGGGGACGGTCGGGGCCCAGTCAGTATAGTAGGCCTGGGGGCCTCCGTACGATTCCGCGCAACTCATCTGAACTGTATCGTTTTTCAAAGTGTGAAAGAAAAATAAACGGACAGTGTTCGAGAAAAACGGAAGGATATTTTCAAATTTTGAAATCTAAAAATTTTTGGAAAAATCATCAGCGTGGCGTATTATAAAATATTAAGTAAAAGAAATTTAAAGACTAACTTGAATATGTTTAAGGAGAAAATCATAAACTTTTATTGGAAAAACTTTTTCAGTTCTTGAACTCCTAAATGCCAAAATAAAAATAAAAATTGAGGATCCGCTAGAAAAATTTTTAAGACACTAGAAAAAATTCATACGGTGATTAGAATGCAATTGGGAATAGAATGATACGTCCGAGGAGAGGAGAATCAGATATTATTTTTCATCAAACTCAGACTTCAGACCGCATTTTGAGAGGGCCTCCTCGAGATCAGCAGAATATTGTGCAAAATTAAATATTTGAAAAAGCCTTGTGTGTTTTTAAGGGTTGCGCTAACTGAATGACATATTTTCGGAAACATTAATCAGAAGAATTGGGATTATCTATACGGTCCCGAGTCCCTTAATTGGGCCGAGAGCAAAAAAAGAGGCAAAAGTCGGAGCGGCTGGGCGGACGGCGACAGCAAGGTAATAAATCACGCGGCGATGCACTCGCAGGCGGACAAGTAGGAGGAGCTTAGGCAACCAATCAGCGCAGCCTCTAGGCGATGGGCGGTATCTTCCATGGTAGGCGAGAGATTCTGCGTTTTAAAGATACGCAGCGTCTCCAACGATAAATCCGCCAATATTAATTGCTTGCGTGAATAATGGACTCGATGGTTTGTCGCAGACCTATGAGTTATGACTATCGCAGTTTTTTCAGATTGTTGAAAAAAAAAAACGACTTGGCAACTTTTTGTTTTCAAAAATAGTACTTTCCATTCTGAAAAACAACTCTAGAAAAAAGGTAGAATCGCAACATAAAAGATTGTTTTGAGCTAAAAATAAATTTGAGGATAATTTCTTTAGAAGTTAAAAACAACAATAAAAAAAACACATTAATTGAAAACCTCCATGTTGGATCCAACAAAAATAAACAAATTTTTTTCGCTTTGTTTTTTTGTGTTTGAAAATCTTCTTCACCTTCAAAGGGGGCTTTGTTAGCGTCTCAACTGTTTTTTCCAATGGAGTGAAAAATACGCGACCTAACTAATTGACATGAAAACCAAGAATGTAAATCGCAAGACAAAAAAAGTAACTAAAAAGAAAATTATGTCTACTTTCCGAAAAAAATTCAAACGCATCGAAACCTTGTTTATGCGGTTTTTATTTTTATTATTATTATTATTATTTTGACCAAGCCTTTATAATTTTTTTACAATAAAAAAATTGAACCAAAAACAAAAAAAGAAATCTGAAAAAAATATAAACCGATTTCATAAATAAAGTTTTGGCTCGGAGAGGAACGACAAAAGATGGGGAATCTGGAGATTTACGGCCGCCTTAGATTTCGATTACAACCGCCGATGACGTCTTCGATTAGGACCAATTACAGCCCCTTTTTGTAAGATTTACAGCTCTCTGACCTTTTGACCACAGGTTAGGCTTCTGACATTCACAAAGAGGATTTTTTTTCAAAATTTTTGAGAGAATTTACTTTCAGTAATACTTGGTTTTTCAATCGCGACGTGTAAAAATACTCTCCTCAATATTTAGAGACTCATAAAAAATTCCACAATCGTTCTCCAGATATCAAGAAGTTTTGACGGGAACAGTTTAAGACAGCAGGTGGAAAAAAAAGATTGATTAGGCGAGAAAAGACAAGACGACGAACGAAGCCGAAGTATTCAAACGTGACAAGTCATCTTTCATGAAATGAAGAAAAAAGAATGGTCACAATATTTGGAGAAGCGGAAAGCGAAAGTGACAGCCGGGTTGGAACCATCGGCGGTTTGAAATCTCCGACCACGACCTTCTACCTGCTTCTCATTTGATAACAATGTTTTTTCAACTGTTCGGCAAGATCCTCGCAAAAGGAACGCGATCAACTCCCGGACTTCGGACTACTAACAGGGGAAAAATCGGATGAAGAATCCATAAGCTTTTTCGAACATGCTTACGAAAGATATCGTGAAAAAAAATATACACTAGCCGTTACTTGCTTGTGAAAAAAAAAGTTAATTTAGAACTCACAGTTTTTTTAAGAACTTTCAGGTGAAAAATTTTTTTATTTATTTTTTTATTCATTTTTGCAATAAATAAAATATCTCTACCTAGGAACAAATGAACAGGAGAATGATGGATAATGAAAAGCTATGCAAAACCTTTTTTTCAATTCACCTCCAATTTTGGAAGGTTTTTTTGCAAGAAAAAAAGCAAAAAAATCTAAAAAAACTTTCAATATCCTTTAAAAACGTAGTAAAAAATTCTTTATTAGGGCCACTTTGAAAAAAAGGTTAAATCAAGATGAGAGGATATGAAATGAAAAGAATTAATTCTTAAGAAAGTAAAAAATTTATTAGGCTCGCGAATTTCGAATTTTTAGTGATTCTCTCGTTGTGTCTATATACAAAGTTTAACAAACCATTTTTACTGTAAATCTAGACAAGGCTTTGACCACACTTTTTCTGGTTTTTTTTTCTCTTGGCAAAAACGCCTCGAGAGCCTTTTTTTAAGCTTTATCACCCTCTGTGTTCATAAATGTCCAAATTATTGAATCAGTCCTTCAAAGGGCGGCTTTAAATCAAAAAAAAAAGACGTAAAGAAAACTTCGTAAACTCATCAAAGGCTGTAGAATTCCAAACCATGTTTTGCAGGAAAGAAATGGAGGAGTTTGTCGAGATGTTCGTATGAAACGAAGAAGAAAGCTGGAAAAGGGAGGGAAGATGTTGCTGGAGCGGCGGCAGTGATGGATGTCCGGCTGGGGACCCTCCGCCTTTATCATTTCGCTTTCCTCGTGTTCGTTTTCACAAAACAGCTACCTTTTTCGAGCACCGCTCAAAAATAGCCAATTCCATGAAAAAATTTAAACGAAAAGTCATCAAAAGTAGTGGAGAGTGGGAGAGATAGAATGTTTTGAAAATAAAAATTGAGAAACGAGAAACCCAGAGGAAATACAAAAATGTTACTTTAACAAGTTGAAATATTTGAGTTCATTGTTTACATGAAATGTGAAGAAAGTTTTAAATAAGTTGTAAAAAAACCAGATTTCAACATATGAAAAAAGCCTATTTTTCAAAAAATTTATGACGTGTTCATCGGAAACAACGAAAATTGCTCCAAAACAAAAATTAGTACTGTTTTGAAGCAACTTTTGCGCGCCGATGAACACTATTGAAGCATGTTCCGTTTCTCCGATGAACACGCCATTATCATCCAAATAATTTTTCAACCAGAAAGACGATGGTACGACAAAATCTCAAGTCCGCAAATCTCGAGGACCGTAATCTTGTGTACGCAGATCTAAAGTCCCATAATCTTGGAGACCAAAATCTTGGAGACCAAAATCTTGGAAACCACAAAGATTTTTGCTTTCCAAGATTGTGGTTTCCGAGATTATGGGACTTTAGATCTGCGTACACAAGATTACGGTCCTCGAGATTTGCAGACTTGAGATTTTGTCGTACCATCAGAAAGACCAAACATTTTTTAGCAGAGCAGAAGGAAATTCGCTCCCCGGCGAACTCGGACCTCTTCAATCCTCTGACAGGAAGCACGTAAAGGCCACAACTCCTTCTCTGACCTTCGCTGTTTCATAGTTTTCTCGAAGCTAGATAAAGACGAAATGGCGTGTGTCAGAGAAAGAACTGCTGCGATCTTTAGGCGTCTCCTGTCAGGTTGGTAACGCGAAACGGACTCGAGTCCGACTTGTCGGGGCATTTCTATTGACCACTTTAGTAACGTCAGCACTCTTAATCGATCTATAGATTTGAACTGTCCAGTTTTCTTTACCTAGGTACGGGAGCCTTTGGCATATTTCTCGCGCCGTGAGCGAACCTCAGTGATGCGAACCGCACTTTTTTGAGCTATTCATACGGTCCTTTTACCGGCGTCCGTACTGTTAAGCACTCTTAAGGATTCACTAGAAATGCTCAGAAACGTTCGGGCCGCATCCGGTTTGCGTTACCGAGGTCTGACTAGTGAGTGCGATCCGCTTTTTATTTAGGGATTGCACTACTGTCTGCTTTTTAAATCCATTCGAACACCAACTTCAGCGTTCTTCGACCTCGTGTCTCAGAACGTTTGAGGTAAGTTCTTTCTCAAAGAATAAATATCCCTTAACCCGACTTTTAATTTTTGAAGTTTGCAGATATTCCACCGTGGACTTGATCTCTTGAAATATACTGGACTCGGTTGCAACCCAACCGGTTGTTCATGATAAATTCGTTCTAAGATTGGTCAGTCACACATTCTTTTTCCTTGCAATGAAAAGAAAAAAACAGTCTTGTTTACGCTAAGTTGAAAAAATTATCTATTTCTAGGTGAAAGTGAATTCAAAATGTTATGATTCGGACAACCACCCAATATTATGGACTATATCGCAGCGAGAGTAACGCTATATCGCGGAAGATCAGCGAGCGATATCGCTCGTCTCTCCTGCGGCCAACGTCTTGCGCTTCATCGCTGTCTGATTTGATCCACTTCATCATAAAAGTTAAAAATGAAGCAAAAATGTTAATTTCAAAGTTATGAGAGGAAGCGATGTGGCAGCGAGTCTTTGACGAAGTCGCAGCGATATGTTGACGAGATCGCAGAAAGAAGCCTTGGCTATATAATATTGCCTGCGACCCGCAATCCTGTGATGGTTTTTTTTTAAAAGCCTAGATTTTTAACTAAATTGTTTTCAGAAAAGTTACTAACTCGAAAATGACGACCTTCTTAAAAGATCTCGACTTTTTTTGAATTTGAACGAAAAAAATAAGCCCAGAAAGAGAGTAATTTGAAAAAGTTAAAAACCTCATCAAAATTCAAATAATCTATAAAAACTTTTCATGAAAATAACAAGACCCGCAACCCCAAAAAAATTTCAATCAAGATTTATTCGACTCGTATATACATCCAATAAAAATATGATGATATTTATTGTTCGCTGACAGGCAAAATTTTGTGGCGTGCGGGTAGAAAAACGAAAAGTTATATTTGCCTCCACTTCTCCACTTTCATTTTTTTTAAAGACTGTTTTAAGTCGAATCGAATTTTTTTTCAATATTGACTCTAAAAGTACAAGTGACTAAGCATTTTTAATTGAACCGTTTGACTCTCAATGAAAAAGGGGAACTTTGGCACTTTTAACTTTTAATTCAAATCATTTTTTACACCCCAGGCATCTTTAAATCTCTCACTTTCCATTTTTCGCTTTTTTTTTCTCTACTTTCAAGTCTCTAAGAACTGTTTTGTTTAATCAGGCGGAGACTAAGCGGAAAGCTCACGAAACATTTTTTGACATAAAACAAGAAGGAAGAACTAAAGATTAGAATCTCTTCAAACCGCTTTTTAGCTTGAATTGCCCTCGTGAATTTTTCGAGTATCCAGTTTTTTCTTTTTTCCAATCTTCAAAAATCTAATTTTAATGACCGATATTAACCGCGGTTTGTAGATCAAAAAAGGTGTTGACACGGGTTGACCTGGCTCCGATGCGAGCCCGTGGCAAGTCGGTCGCAGATAATTCCTTGTCGGCCAACAACAAACGCTGTTTACCTCATTGATCTAGTTAGCACCTATTATATCATCTTCGGCGACTTTTGTAGGCGTCTTTTAAATAGTGGTCCGAACCAGAACTACCTTCAAGGGTTTTCGACATTTACTCAGCTAACTAGGGTAAGGTTGGTCATTACGAGTAATCAGAAACAGAAATAAGAACTAAACCGCAATCGAGCGCCTTCGGCGAGCAACTAGCGGCGGGGCTAGGTGGTCATGGTTTGCACCATTTTTACCGACTGTTTTTTTTCCTGGCAATTTTTTCAAATATTTCCATAAAAAATTTTTAAAAAAACAGTTTTCCATCAAACTTCTAATGTCAATTTTTTGAATCTGGAAAAAATAGTTGCGAATTCCGTTGGAAAATGTTAATGAACATGTCCAGAACGATAGAACAAGATTGTTAGATTAAGCAGAAAAACAACGGTTGTTGTACAAACATATGTAAAATTTGTTAAAACGAATTTATTGCTATGGCAATTAAAGAAGACTGAAACAGTCCCCAGGCGAACAGTTCTCTATGGTATTTCAGACTTCAGTGCCTAAAAAAGGAACAAGGTTTTTGAATAATAGATGTTTCAGTTGATATCGAACAACTGAGAGCTGAGAAAAATTTTCAGTCGAGTGTTGGTCTTGCGACATTGAGTCAGAAACACGGTGGAGGCTACTGTAGGATGTCGGCGGGAAATCGGACGAACAGTTGGCGACGTGCCGCCGATGATGGATGACAAAGGGGCCGCTCAAAGCATGTTGTGCAAGCTTATTGTGCTCCATTGCACAACCCAGGGGTCCTCGGACGGCCTTTTGCGGTTTCGCTTGTATCCAAGGACAACTTCTCGAGTTGATGGTGTACTTGCACAAAAGAAAAAGTTGTTTTTGACACTAAAATTGAGTCGAAAATTTGAAGAACTTCCTTTCAGCTTCAATTTTTGTTTTTGGAATAGTTCTTATTAATATTTATAGTTCTTATTAATATAAATAAAACTTCTGTGTAATTTAAAGAATCAAGACTTTCAAACGAAAAAAACGCTCTCTTTACTTCGAGAAGCTCGTTTCTGGTTAAATTGGACCTTATTGTATGAACAGTAAAGAATATGGTTTTGGAACGTTCAATACTTTTTTTCTCATTAAAAATTAATAACTAGAAAGGTCACAGTTGGAAGCGATCTTTAACGAGGTGAACAAAAAAAGCCTACATGAAACTCCAATATTTGAGGAAAAAGTGCCAAAATAATCGATTTCAAAAAGGTTTGTAGAAGGTTCAGACTGGTTTTACACCTTTTAGGTTTAGGTTTTTCACAGATATGTCCGACTTTCACCGGTTTGAAGCAGTCTCTGTATTTTTTCCTCTCGCTGGTGCAATAATAGAGAAATGAAAATAGTTCGTGAAAACGAGAAATTTGCCTAAAAAAGAGGGCGCAGAGATATCAATCATCAATCGAACATTTCATAAAATTTTCAAAACGTGAAAACAAAACGTAGCACATTTTCAGATAAAAATTTCGACTTCTTTCTCAAACAATTTCCCATCTTTTCTTGATTCTAAATGCTCATAAAAGCTTCTACACGAACCCTCCGACTAATTTTCTCAAGGAAAGTTTTTTTTTAGAATTTTCCATTTTCATGTACCTTCTCCCGTTTAAGTCCTTGAATTACATCAAACTTTTACTTCATCGTCAGATCCACCTTTTAGATAGATTAACTTCATAGAAAAGATCAAGTAAATAAATATTGGGAGCTCCGAAGGGCGGTCGACAAAGGCTGCATCTGGAGGCGCCGTCGGATGACGAATCGTTGGTGGTTTGGCAACACGGCTGATAGACGCCGACAGACACACAGACACCACGATTTACGACGTTTCGTCGCTCCGCTCAGGTCTCCGTTGCAGTTTCCAAGTCGCTGCCGTCTCGTCGGCCTTCATCATTTTCTATTATTTACTGTATATCAAGCGAACGGCTGTACTTTCCAGGCTTCCGCGAGCCTTTCAAAGTTCTCTGGCTACTGATCATCCTTTTCGCGTGTCTTCTCCATTTTTTGATTTTTTCCCTCGTCGAAAATGGGAAAAATTACCACGCACACCTTCCTTTGTGTTTCTCCAGACATAAAGGGCTCATTTCGTTTTCTTTCTGCTCAGGTTTGTGTGAGGTCCACCAGGTTTCATCAGAAACAAGACAGTAGATAATGGCAAATCAATTCGAAATGGGGCCTACTATTGACTTCTTGATTACATTTATTCTTTTATGGTCCGGATGAACTGATGTTTCATATACCACGCTGTAAAGTTTTATTCAGTGAGTTTTTTTCCTATGTTCATTCACAAAAAAGTATAGTATACAACTTTGAGAACAATTTGCCTTGAATCACTGATATTTTGGAAATAGCGAGATAACAAGCTTCAGAACGTTCTGACTCGTTCTGAGCAACAACAAACAAATGAAAAATAAAAATTAAAAATTAAAAAGTAAAACAAAACAAGCAAAAAAAGAATCGAGAGATTCTCAGTAGTGAAAAATTCAGACACAGTTCTCGCGTCTGTGTATCTGCCACGTGCATAAATCGTCCCTATTTATGTTTTTATGAATTTCTCCTCTTTATCTGATAGTTTACAAATGGTCGCTAGAAGCGGAGTTTCTTAGAAACCGCTTGCGATATCTAAAATAGCGACTTTGTGAAGTAAAGACTTTTCATAACAGACGTATTTCCTTGTTTGTTTTTTTTTTCTGTCATACAGGAGGAGAATCAGCGGAATGAATAAGAAAATAATGTTATTTTTGGATTCGAACCCGATAATTAGAAAAGAGTTGAAGTGATAGGATCGGGGAGACACGTGTCGACGGCGTCGTGCCGATAACGACGATAGCCATCGTCTTCTGAAGTTTTCTCTCATTAATCACCCAACTCTCGACTCTCTCTCCAACCGTTCGCTATCTCTTCGAAAAGTTTTTTGTTTCCTTTTCAGTATACTGTCGTATTTGAATGTCCTGTTTGAAGGAAAAACTATTTTTTTCCGAAACTTGACTTAAAATAAATATTATAACTTCTTTACAAATATATTTTGCTCTCTCTGCGCAAAGATCGAATTCTCACACATTTCGTTCATCAAACCACATCCTCACAACATTGATATACGGACAATAGTTTCATTTTTCTTTTTCCGTACGTTATTCTCCGATTTTTTTAGTGTATTTCAATTTTTTTCATTAAAATTTAAATTATAGTTGAAAAAGGGTGGCTATGCATCGTCTTCTAAGCCGCCGGTTTTTGTAAAGTCGATATGCGTTTTTATATAATATAATACTCTTTCAATATTCCGTGTTGTGGTTTCAACTTGCTTTTCTCTGACAATTTTTGGCGCTAAAAGTTTTTTTTTTCCATTCGGCCAAAATACTTATAAGTTAAAGTCAAAAAAAGTGGAAGCATTTTTTTTTAAACTCATTTTTCTTTGAGAAAAGAGCTGAAGAGACTCAATTTTTTCTTATCAGAACTTGATAACATTTTCAAAGTAATTCTTTCACTGTAGGTGATTATTATCCTGTTATTTTTTGAGCTTTATTGAGATTTACTAAACGAATGAAAAATAAAAATCAAGATAATTCAAGACTATTCAATCGGAAGGTAGCTACTTGGAAATCAATCGGCGTCAGCTAATCGGTGGACGTTTATTAGCTACCGTATCCTTTTTCAGCGGTATCTAATGAGGTCTCAACACGGTTAACAAAAGTTGATCTTTGGAGAGCTTAGTGGGGTAGTAAGTAAAAAAAAAAAACGTTTGTAAGTGAATTTTATATGAAATTTTGAGTTCCCAGGTCGTGGCTCGAGTAAAATTGAAAATGAGTTCAGAAAAATTAATAGTTTTTTGGAACTGAAAAAAAAATGAACCAGTTAAATTCAAAAATAAAAAAAAAAGAACTAGATCTTAGAAAAGATCTTCAAAAGAGTGTTTGGCAACAGCTCTGTTCTGTCGAAGCGTCCGACCGGAGATTAGACGCGACGTTGTAAGATTTATGAAGGCGTTGAAATCCGCGTCGGTGCCCAAAAGAGCCAGATTTATTGTATTACTGCGCGAGTGTAGGTGTAATCGAGCAACAGTTGCCAAAATGTTGAGCCACGTCTTCTGGCGATACCGTAACCGACGGCGGGTGACAGCAAGTTCCAACTTGCTGCTGCCTTTCGGCGTTCCTGCCGTGAGTGATCGATTGATTAGCACTTTTTCGGGCGTCCTATTTCTTGTTAGACCAACTATTCTCCATTGATTAGAGGGATTCTTTCATCTTTTCCGAAAAGTTAGGAGCTTTTTCATTCTCATTAAACCCAGCTTTTCTTTAATTACTTCTTACAAGTAAAAAAGAGTTTTTTTTTTCAACTTTTGAATTTATCGGGCAGTTCTCACGATTTGAGAAATTATCTATCGGAACCTTGCTGTGAATCGGCGGTTTGGACATGAAAGATCGATAATGTTTGCCGGTCCTCCATATCGAAGAAAAGCCATAAACGACGAGGCCATAGCGGTTTTATTCGTCCGTTTTTATGGCACCGCAACGTCATAATCGGCGCGTTTGGCGGCCTGTTGCACTGATTACGAGACTCTACCTTTTTAGTTGTTCTGCCTACTCTCCTTCCGTTCTCAATTCCATTATTTTTTTCCTTCTAAATCATAAACTTTTAACTATGTTTCAGAAGTAATAGTAGAGAAGGTCTCAATGTTCGGTGTGAGAAAAACTCGAAGTTCTTTCGAAAATCCTGGGAATACAGTAAGGTTGAGTAGCGCAGCAATACCAGTGGGGCCGAAGGAAAAACAGCGATATCTGCGAGCTTATCACTTGCTTGTTTTCGCCTTCTTCCTTCTACTCTGCTTTGACTCTTATAAAGTTATCAAGAATTCGTTCTAAACGTCTTCTTTTAAGATCTTCAGAGAAACCAAGCTACACTGAAAATATTGCATGTCGTCTTTTTTGCCGGCTTGTATTTTCATTTCCAATTTAGAAAACTGCGGATTTTTGCAACCTGTTTTTTTTTAATAAGAGTAAGAAGCGGAAGCGTTGATTTTATTTTTCGGTTTACTTAGCGCTCTTAGTCTTACTCAGTAGTTGCACTGTGAGTTCAACTATGGTTGAAATAAATTGTTCGTTGTTTTCAGAAACCCTGGTTGATATCCAAAGCCTTATCATAGATCAACGACGGTCGTCGATACATCAAAACCGAGGTGAAATGATGGACGCCGCCGTAAATCCACACCTCGATGGATTGTATCTGCGCCCTCCTCCTACGAGGTAGACAAAGAGGGCGTGTCGGTGGTGTGTTTTGGCGAGGATCCAGCCAGAACTCTCCAGTTGGCCTCTCCCTTCACCACAGCTTCGTCGCTCCACCTGTTGATCTTCCTGTTCTGCGAGGTTATGCCGATTTTGGGATATAAGCTCGCAACAACAGGCAGAACAACGCGTGGCCCGCCTTTTATTTTTCTTTTTCTCCTCTTTTCCGACTAACATCGAACCGAAGTTTTAGTGAAATACCTTTTCTCCGTCTTTTTCTTCTCATCTAGCTAATTTCAACAGATGTTATTCAAGCCGCCACGACTTAAACGTTATAATCTTTTTTCTACTATTTCCAACTTCCTAAAACCTGGTCGTAACGAGAAGAGAGACTTTGTCGAGTTCTGCTTCATTTCCTACCTTTTTGCGGCATTCAGGTTGTATTTGATGTATATAAAAAATTAAAAAATAATAAAAAAATGAAAAAAAGCTTAGAGAAGCCTCACAAATGAATGTATCAAAACCAAATGAAATCGTGGACAGATCAACGATTGAAAACTGAAAAGAATGATCCAACTTGCCGCGAAATGAAAAAGCTCGTCTAGCTGAGACTGTACCCTATTTATCTGCGTTTTTTTCTTCAATTTTCGCGTTGTCCTGAAAATTTTCAGATTTGTTGAACTTTGGCGTTGGACCTGAAGAAAAAAATGTCCCATAGGCAAATTTGTTCACAGTCTCTGAATCGTTCAGAAAAAAAGAGCCGAAGTCCGGTAAAAGTCCAAAGAACAAGCAGAGCATCGTTTATTCTTCTCCAGATTCATTGAATCAAAACATTTTTCTGATATATGAAGAACTGTATGTGTTTTTTGAGGAAGCTGAGCAGATCGAAGACAGTTTCCCCCACGACATTGCTGATACATGCGGACCTGGCGGAAAATGTTGCGTTTCGGCGTCTTCGACGTACGACTGATTTATGGCTGCATTTGCCTAGCCTCGCTCTCTTTCTCTCGCTCCATCGATTCGATTTGCAGCGATTCCGCTACGAGCCTCGAACCCTCTCTTTTCAGGGATTTTCAATAAAACTTTCAAATGGGTCTCGATTCTTCGAACAAGTTGGCTATCGATCGAGAGGGCAAAACAAAAACTGGCTTTTCAAAAAAAAAAAAAAGATAGTTTCTTCACTGACAGCTGGTTCAGTTCGATCTGAAATGACATAAAAAAGAATTAAATCAGAAACAGAAAATCAAAATGATTGGTGGAGCAATAAGTCCTGTTTGGTGTTGTTTTATGTCTCGAGAACTCCTCTCCTCTTTCCATATATCCAGAAAGAAAATAGGGACAGAGTATGTTAAATATAAAAACCGGTACGAAGCAAAATCGACTAATAGTTATTTATATTAGCTAGAGGTTTATTATTAAATAGAGTTTGTCGAATCTACTCTGAGTCTAGGTCACTATCGAAGAGATTTCAGCCTTATCATACGTTATCCAAAACAAGTTTTTTAAGAGGAGTTTTTCATCTGTGTTTTATTTTATTTATTTTCAGCTGAAAAAAGATGGAAAAGCTTTCAAGCTAGTCATTTCCTGACTTATTAGAAATCCGAAAGTTCAGTCGAAAAAGTTAGAAGAATGATATCCACGGCTTTCTGCTCGGAGTCGTTTCGAAGACCTCGGAAAAAAAGTTCGAATAAGTATGAAACTCAAAAACTGAATTTTAAAAGGCGACCACGAGTAATCTAAAGTCATCCCTTCAAATAAATTCAGTGTTTTTGCAACATTTTGGAAATTCCGACCTTCACGTCAAAAGGAAAGTGAAAGAACAAGAATCTAAATCATATCGAAGACTTTCAGTGAAGCGGAAATATACTGATCATTGACACTGGTCATTCGGGAGGTCGATACAAGTAGGTACCGGGTAGCAACTTCAAAGTTAATCAGCGTATGGCATTCGGTGTTCGTTTGTATGCGACCGGGTACCATCTCTATGGCACCTGGATACTACCTGAGAGGTATTGCGATGCTACCGGATATGATTCCTGACCACCTTTGAGAATAGAAGTCATGACGGCGAGCGAAACCTGAAAAAAAAACCAGACCTTTTTAGTTTTTTGTAAATGGTTTTCGGCGGAGTTTTGGTATCTAAAACAACTGCTGTAATTTACTGGAAAAATGGGGAACTCTACTGAAGTCGTGCAAAGAGCAATGCTTATGCAAGCATTCTGCAAAAAAAAAGTCCTGCAAGTTGGTGCTTCCCATTTTGCATTACTTTTTTTTGGTTTACTTTTGTACTGAAAAAAGTGCAAAATGCGAGTGACTGAATTGCAGAAAGCATGAGTAGGGACCGCAAGCTATTTTTACAACATGACCCAAAAATTAAAATTATGTTTTTTAGATTGTTCGATAGAGGAGACTGTCAATTTTCATAATCTGTTTAGTTTTTGAAAAAAGGTCCACTAAGAAAAAAGTTATGGCGAAAAAACTAGAGCGCGCAGCGTTCAACTGGAGACTCAATCTGACGGTTTACCCGCTGCACGCTTTCTTTTAAATTCGTTTTGCGCACTTCTGGACCGTTTTTAAATCGGTTTTCTGTTCTGAAAAATTGTGAAAACTGAGCTGAATGTTGTATACCATTGTTCTAAGAGATTTTGATAAAATAATAAAAAACTACTTAGAAAAAAAGGTCAGGAGAAATTTTTTTCGCTAAATTTTTCTCTTTTCTAATCGGAAAATCTATTATCATTCCATTTTTAAGAGAAGAAAAAAAAATGAAAAATGCTCTCAATTTGAAATTAAACAGGCCGAAGTGTAAATTCATGACGAAAAACGGCTCCTGCAACATTTAAAGGCATAGGGGCAGTAAAAAAAACGGTGTTTCAGTTAAAAGCAGTACTTTGTAGAGTTTTTCATTGTGAATCGAACGGTGAACTTGGAAACTTACCAAAATTCCTAGTTCTAGAGAAAAAATAATTCAAAGTCGGAGAGAGGAAAGTTTGAGTTCCCGCGAAAAGGGCGCTTTGCAGTAAAGTTGCTCTATGGACAACAGGCTTCGCCTTTTTTCGGACTTTCGCTTTTTTCTTCGTTTCTTTCAGTTTTCAATTTTTTCTGTTTTCACCAAAGTTCTTTTTGTCACTAAAGCTTACTATTCATGTATAATTTGCAAACTTTGATCGCAAAAATGCTTCTCTGGCGAAAAATGATGATTTTACACAGGTTTCGATTGGGATAGCGATTATTTGTGTTTTCTTTATTATCAATGAGTGTTTTTTGTTTTCTTAATCGATTTTTCAGAGTAGAAACCCCTGGATTTAAAGCAGATATCCGGTTATTTCTCACAAAATGCGAGTCTAATGAGGCGTCCGCAACATTGCGTGCACGGCTACTGTAAACATTTGTCCGTCTGCCGATCCAAAGCATTTTTCAAAATTAAAGGCGGGAAAGTAAAATCGCGTTTTTCTTCTAAAGTTGTCACATCTCTAATTTTTTTGAGTACACAATTCGATTCGCAAAGAAAAACTATATAAGATACTGCTTTCACCTGAAACCCCATTTTTTACTGCCCCTATGCCTAGGCATTTAAAGGCGCCTTTAAATGCCGGCGTTCGCGTGTTCGATGCATACACACCGACGCACGCTCGAAAAAAGAAAAATTAATTTCGCTTTTTTGCGAGGTTTTTAAAGCCATTTCTTAATATGGAACGTTTTATTTTTCAATTTTTAGTAGTTTTTTGAATGTTTAACGACATATCAAAAATTTAAGCTTGTTCTAAATGTATTGAAGTTCTACAATTAAAGTTGAAAGATGAAATGAATGTCGACTTACGTAATTTTAAAATATAATTTTGTACATTTTCCATATTCATTTTTTCTCCATTTTACTGTTTTTTTCAAGATACTGAGAATTTTTTTATAGAAAAAAATATGTAGCATGTCGCTGAAAATTTTTCGCATTTAGGCTTCAAAGTTTAGTGCCACTTCACAAGCTTCGTTATCTTTTTAGAGGCCGCCATATTTTTTTATTTTCACGTATAAATTCAAAAAAATATGTTAATGAATATGGTAAAGAAAAACAGAAAAATTTCTCAATCTTTTCGATTTTTTTAAGTGTATTTATGAGAAAACTAAAATTAGAAGTAATTTAGTTTCGTAAAGCGACTTCGATTACGTAGGTTTAGGGGGATAGTTATTTTTTTGAGTTCTGGTTAGAAGTAGTAAAAAAACGCCTTAAATCCGTTTTTTTAAGCAAAAAAATCGACGATTTGGTAGTGGGGCGGACTTTTAATATGAAATAATTGGTTTTTTTCAGGTTTTTTTAAGAAAATGGGAGCTTGTTTGAGATGCTATACCGGTTTTTCCGACCTGCTGAATTGAATAGAAAAAAATATATGTTTCAAAATGTGTTCGGAGCGCTCATAGGCCCGGCAAGCCGGCTGCGAGCTTCGCTCACTTGACCATTCACATGCAAATATCTTCTCATTTCCGCTTGCTTCGTCCTTCATCTTCTACTTCTCATGTACCAAAACTAATTTCGTTTCGTTTTAAGATATACCTCAACACTTGTCCTCAAAAGCGAAAATTATAAATTTTTCACGATCACATTTTATTGAATCACAAATATTCATTGCCTACCAACAGGGACTTTTAATCTGTTCACCTCTACGCAGAAATCTTCGGTATTTAACTTCTTTGAATCGTTAATGATGCCGTGTTCAAAGCAATATGCGAAATTATTTGAACATTAGTACTAACTTTCCAAAATTCAGGTATTTTTTCACAGCGTTCTTTTTTACGACGCCCCGCCCACAATTTTCGTAATATATGACGTCTTTGGTGCATACACAGAACGGCGCTAACTTGCATACTCAATTGAATCCAAAAAACATTCCTGTACAAATTTTTAAAAAGAATTGATAAATTAGAAGTTTTTTGAGAACTACAGGCTTGGAAAAAGTTAATTCTGGCACGTTTCTATTCTCTAATGAACCTCAATACAAAATAAGTTGGGTTTTAAATTTTTTTCTCAATTTTTTTAAAAAAATCGATTATTTCGCTCTCCGTAGTTTGTTTTGATTGGCTCTTTTTTTCTAAATTTGCGAAATAAATTTCAATAGTGTTGAAAGTAATTTCTGCGAAATGCTCAACTATTTCTGAATGTCCACAAATTAGTTATATTTTTTTCTTTCTCTGACTGCTATTTTTGGATTTTTGCGCAATCGCTTTCGCACAGGGAATTAATGAATAAACTGTTTTTTTCTTGTTTTTTTTTTACTGCAGCACTGTATTTTCATGTGTTCATTATTTACAAAATTAGGTTTTTCATTGTTTCCATTCGTTCCGAAATTATTTTCTACATAGGCGAATCGAGAAAGGGTATTGAGAGACCCTTTGAGGTATATCGCAGGCTCTGAAGTCTCACGATGGTGCCTCGAGGATACCTCTGAGGATTTTGAGCAAAATGAGACGGGCTTGAGAGGGACTCTAAAGTACCTCCGAAATGGCTCAGATATAGCTAAAAGGAATGCCGGAGGTCTCACGATGAACACATTATGGGGCCTTCACGATCCATTTTAAGAGGTACCTTTGTGGACACATCATGGTACTCTCTCGATTCGCCTGTGTAGGTCATGGAATCATCGTGAGAAAAAAGCAAGTTATAAAGAAACCTTTCTCTATTCTTTCTCTTTCATTTAAATATAGTTTTTATCCAGGTTTTTACCACAAAGGACAGCGAATGATGGAAAAAAAGAATCGATCACAGAAAAAAACCCACCACTATCTCAACAGCTAAACTCGCAAGGTTTTTCTTCAATTTCTGTGTCTGATATTCTATTTCAGTGAATTCCGGTTTTATTCATCATTCCTAAAACTGCACTTTCTGTTCTTTGTTCAAAATGGATAAAATGATCCAAATAAACATTTTTTTTCACTTTTATTAAGATTTCTAGCGTACTAAAAGAGTTTAAAGCTAGATAT